CTCTTTCATTGCTGTTCCTAGAGGATGCCTGGCTGGCGCCTACATGCTCTTACTTAACTTGACAGTTCATGTTAAAGAAACATTCCACCCCAAAACAATATTTTTGCATATGATGCTAAACGCAGCATCATATGATACAAAATGCATCATACTGGCTGTATTTCTGTATTTTGAAAACTTAATTGCTGACATGCAAAACATTTTGGGACTATATCAACAATGGACTAATGAAACAAATACCAAAAGATCGTTTTTGGGTGGAGTGTTACTTTAACCCTGGAGTGGGTGGTCATGTCAACCGCTGCCCCTCTGATACAGCTCTTTGTGACATAGACTAGAAATAGACAGAATCTCTATGTAAGTAGTCAGCTGACATTTACAGTGCTTTTGGAAAGTATTCAGACCCCTTGACTTTTTCCACATTGTTACGTTACAGCCTTATTCTAAAATAGATTAAAATGTTTTTTTTCCCCTCATTAATCTACACACAATACCCCATGATGACAAAACAAAAATAGGTTTTTAGAAATTTTTGCTAATACAAACAAATTAATAAATGAAATATCACATTTACATAAGTATTCAGACCCTTTACTCAGTACTTTGTTGAAGCATCTTTGGCAGCAATTACAGCCTAGAGTCTTCTTGGGTATGATGCTACAAGCTTGGCACACCTGTATTTGGGGAGTTTCTCCCATTCTTCTCTACAGATCCTCTCAAGCTCTGTCAGGTTGGGTGGGGAGCGTCGCTGCACAGCTATTTTCAGGTCTCTCCAGAGATGTTCGATCGGGTTCAAGTCCGGGCTCTTGCTGGGCCACTCAAGAACATTCAGAGACTTGTCCCGAAGCCACTTCTGTGTTGTCTTGGCTGTGTGCTTAGGGTCATTGTCCTGTTTGCTCCGTTCAACTTTCCCTCGATCCTGACTATTCTCCCAGTCCCTGCCGCTGAAAAACATTCCCCACAGCATGATGCTGCCACCACCATGCTTCACCTTAGGGATGGTGCCAGGTTTCCTCCAGATGTGACACTTGGCATTCAGGCCAAAGAGTTCAATCTTGATTTCATCAGACCAGAGAATCTTGTTTCTCATGGTCTGAGAGTCCTTTAGATTGTCACACCCTGGCTCTGGGACTCTATATGTTGAGCCAGGGTGTGTTCATTCTATGTGTTGTATTTCTTTGTTGGGAGTTCTAGTTTGTTTATTTCTTTGTTGGCCTGAGTGACTCCCAATCAGAGGCAACGAGTGTCAGCTGTGGCTGGTTGTCTCTGATTGGGAGCCATATTTACACTGTCGGTTTTCCCTTAGTGTTTGTGGGATCTTGTTCCAGGTGGTTGTGTTTAGACTTAGGACGTCACGGTATCGTTTGTTGTTTTGTTATTCGTGTGTGCACTTTAATTAAATAAAGTATGTTCGCTCAACACGCTGCGCCTTGGTCTACTCGATACGACGATCCTGACAGAAGATCCCACCATACCAGGACCAAGCAGCGTGTCCAGGAGCAGGCAGCCTGGACGTGGGAGCAGATCTTGGACGGGCAGGGGTCCTGGACCTGGGTGGAAATCCAGGCCGGGATGGATCGCCGGCCATGGAAGGAGACGGTAGAGGCGCGACGGAGAGAGGAGCAACGGCGTAATCAGTGTCGTCGTCGGATGGACGAGAGGCAACCCCAAAAAATGTTTAGGGGGGGGGGCACACGGCATGGGCGACGGGGCAGCAGGAGGCAGCTACAGGGCGTAGTAGGAGGTTAGGTGAGGAGGCCACCAGGTTAAGGGGGCTATTGGCGCAGAGGGAGCAGGAGTTAGTGGTGCAGAGGGTAGAGTTACTGGAGGCGATAAGGGAGAGGGTGAGAATAGAGGCACGGCGAGAGGAACTAGGTAGGCAGCTGAGGGAGCGGAGGGTTAGGACGAAACCCAGTCCCGCTCCTCACACCAAGCAAGTGGTGTGCGTCACCAGTCCGGTCCGGCCCGTTCCTGCTCCCCGCACTAAGTTAATGGTGCGCGTCGCCAGTCCGGCCCGACCTGTTCCTGCCCCTCGCACCAAGCCTAGGGTGCGCGTCGCCAGCCCGGCCCAGCCTGTTCCTGCCCCTCGCACCAAGCCTAGGGTGCACGTCGCCAGCCCGGCCCAGCCTGTTCCTGTCCCTCGCACCAAGCCTACGGTGCGCGTCACCAGCCCGGCCCGGCCTGTTCCTGCCACTCGCACCAAGCCTACGGTGCGCGTCGCCAGCCCGGCCCGGCCTGTTCCTGCCACTCGCACCAAGCCTACGGTGTGCGTCGCCAGCCCGGCTTGGCCTGTTCCTGCCACTCGCACCAAGCCTACGGTGCGCGTCGCCAGCCCGGCCCGGCCTGTTCCTGCCACTCGCACCAAGCCTACGGTGCGCGTCGCCAGCCCGGCCCGGCCTGTTCCTGCTACTCGCACCAAGCCAGGGGTGCGAGTCGTCAGCCTGGTAAAGCCCGTTGCTGCTCCACGCACCAAGCCAGGGGTGCGAGTCGTCAGCCTGGTCCAGCCCGTTCCTGCTACTCGCACCAAGCCAGGGGTGCGAGTCGTCAGCCTGGTCCAGCCCGTTCCTGCTACTCGCACCAAGCCAGGGTTGTGAGTCGTCAGCCTGGTCCAGCCCATTCCTGCTACTCGCACCAAGCCAGGGGTGCGAGTCATCAGCCTGGTAAAGCCCGTTGCTGCTCCACGCACCAAGCCAGGGGTGCGAGTCGTCAGTCCGGTGAGAAACCGTTCCGGCTCCACGCACCAAGCCAGGGGTGCGCATCGTCAGCCCGGTCCGGCCCGTTGCTGCTTCACGCACCAAGCCAGGGGTGCGCATCGTCAGTCCGGTGAGGCCCGTTCCGGCTCCACGCACCAAGCCAGGGGTGCGCATCGTCAGCCCGGTCCGGCCTGTTGCTGCTCCACGCACCAAGCCAGGGGTGCGCATCGTCAGCCCGGTCCGGTCCTTTCCTGCCTCACGCACCAAGCCAGGGGTGCGCGTCGTCAGTCCGGCACAACCCGTGCCTGGGTCACCGGTGCCTAATCAGGTACCGGTCAACTGCTCCACAACGGAGCTGAAGCTAACCGTTCCTGCTACGTCCAGTTCAGCTCCAGCCAGCGGGGCCAGACCGGACCAGGGGCGCTATGGGGGGTTTATTGGAGGGTGGTGGGCAAGCCCGGAGCCAGAACCGCCGCCGAGCAGGAATGCCCACCCAGCCCTCCCCTGTTTTGTTCTAGTTGAGTCGCGGTCGCAGTCCGCGCCTTTAGGGGGGGGTACTGTCACACCCTGGCTCTGGGACTCTATATGTTGAGCCAGGGTGTGTTCATTCTATGTGTTGTATTTCTTTGTTGGGAGTTCTAGTTTGTTTATTTCTTTGTTGGCCTGAGTGACTCCCAATCAGAGGCAACGAGTGTCAGCTGTGGCTGGTTGTCTCTGATTGGGAGCCATATTTAAACTGTCGGTTTTCCCTTAGTGTTTGTGGGATCTTGTTCCAGTTGGTTGTGTTTAGACTTAGGACGTCACGGTATCGTTTGTTGTTTTGTTATTCGTGTGTGCACTTTAATTAAATAAAGTATGTTCGCTCAACACGCTGCGCCTTGGTCTACTCGATACGACGATCGTGACATAGATGCCTTTTGGCAAACTCCAAGCGGGCTGTCATGTGCCTTTTACTGAGGAGTGGCTTCCGTCTGGCCACTCTACCATAGAGGCCTGATTGGTGGAGTGCTGCAGAGATGGTTGTCTTTCGGGAACGTTCTCCCATCTACACAGAGGAACTCTGGAGCTCTGTCAGAGTGACCATTGGGTTCTTGGACAACTCCCAGACCAAGGCCCTTCTCCCCCGATTGCTTAGTTTGGCCGGGTGGCCAGCTCTAGGTAGAGTCTTGGTGGTTCCAAACTTCTTCCATTTAAGAATGATGAAGGCCACTGTGTTCTTGGGGACCTTCAATGCTGCAGAAATATTTTGGTACCCTTCCCAGGATTGTGCCTCGACACAATCCTGTCTCGGAGCTATACAGACAATTCATTCGACCTCATGGTTTGGTTTTTGCTCTGACATGCATTGTCAACTGTGGGACCTTATATAGACAGGTGTGTGCCTTTCCAAATCATGTTCAATCAATTGAATTTACCACAGCTGGACTCCAATCAAGTTGTAGAAACATTTTAAGGATGATCAATGGAAACAGGATGCCCCTGAGCTCAATTTCGAATCTCATAGAAAAGGGTCTGAATACTTATGTAAATAAGGTATTTCTGTTTTTTATTTGTAATACATTTGCAAACATTTCTAAAAACCTGTTTTTGCTTTGTCATTATGGGGTATATTAGAATAAGGCTGTAACGTAACACAATGTGGAAAAAGCAGAGGGGTCTGAATACATTCCGAATTAACTGTATAAGATGGAATTCTTCACTGTGCCTTTAACTCTGTCCTGACCCTCTGAGATCTCTTTCCTAAATACCTCGCTCTCTGCAGAAGCTTAACATGCACCTCAACGATGCTGCCTCAACTCCCTCCTTGCACAGCGCTGCTGCTGCTTCCAAACTTGGGCTGTGTTCATGCGTGGTGAAATGAATCAATTAAGGCACTCTCTAAGCACTCATGCGAATCACACGTCATAATCTGAGCGTGACACAGAACAACCATGTAAATGCAGCTCTATATGTAAATGAGCATTCTCTCAGTAGTGATCACATGGCTGTTGTTGTAATTCAATTAGGTGGTTGCCGTGGATATTAAGTTAAGCTCTAGATATCAGGACCACAAGAGCCAATGACTGAGGAACCAGAAAACCATAAACATCATGTGTAGGCTCCTGTTTTGTGTGTAAATTCACAATTATAGCGTCTACATATAACTAATGCCTATTGTACTGAAACAAAGAAAGTGCATGTAAACACAACAGCACAACACAACATGCATAACTGTGCACTGTTGAATGACACTAATGACTGACGTGATGTAAACATACTGTATGCTGTGCCAGAAGTAATTGGAATACAGTACTAAACAAAACTCTCATGTTTCCCTATTCCTATGTTGTAGGCCAGAAGAGCATGCGTGTCACCAGCCTGCTCATCTGCCAGGGGCTTCTGTGGGTGGGCACTGCCCAGGGAGTCATCATCACCCTGCCCGTGCCCAAACTGGAGGGCATTCCCAAAATAACAGGTACAGATGAGGGGAGGAGGATATTACATTTTTCACTATGAAAAGTGATCCATTATCAAAATGGGAATACTAATTGCTTCTGGGGGTATGTATGTCAACATTGTGATTTTCTGGTTGTGTCTCTGTCCTGCAGGAAAGGGGATGACCTCGCTGAATGCCCACTGTGGTCCGGTGGACTTCCTGGTGGCCACCTCCAGCACCCTGTCTGCAGAGCTCCTGAAGAGGGACTCAGTGGGGGACGGACCTGACTCTGCCTGTGGAGGGGAGGACCGCAGTGACTCCTCCTCCCAGGAGTCTCTTCAGCAGTCAGGCTCCTCCCAGGGGGAGGGGCGGGGCAAGGGGCGGGGTGTGCTGCTACAGTACAGGCTACGCTCCACGTCTGGGTTGCCGGGGCGAGCACTGACGGCACGGGGCGACGAGGCGTCTGACTCCTCTCTGGAATCTCTGGAACAAAGACTGGAGGACGGCTCCATCTATGAGCTCAGTGACGACCCCGAGATGTGGGTGCGGGGGCGCCCCTGTGAGCGAGACGGGGGGCGCAGGGACAGGGTGACCTCGGCCGCGGTCATATCCGGGGGCAGGGGCTTCCACAGACTGAGGGAAGGGACAGCAGAGCGCACAGGGGTGGAGTCTTCAGAAACAACCCTGATGGTATGGCAACTGCCACTAACTGTGTGACCTGGATATCAACATTCAGGCAATGTAGAGTGGAGAAGCAGCTCTTTGCCCCAGCCCCGAATCCTCTCCATCCCATAATGACATGAACATGAACCATGTGAGAGAAGTGTATTAGTGCTGGTACAGAGCACAAGACCAGGCTGATGACTCCTTGTGTGGGTTAAGGAGCTCCTGCCTCCTGCATGCTCCATCTGAGGAGACCTGCTGGTGGCCTGTGAGGCATGGGGCACTGCCATCCCATTGGTGGCTCTGTGTGTATCCTCCTCCTCAGCCACAGGCCCAGGGCATTTCTTGTGACAGCTTAAACTGGTCCTCTCCCCTCCTTGCCAAAATGGATATGCCGAAATCAAGCGTCATTAGAGCTGACTATGCTCACCTCACACACATTTCTCTCCCACTGTTGACAGCATTCCTCTGTGAGTAACAGTGGACCACATTCCTTTGAGAGTGACAGTTTGTTGAATTTACCATGCTGCAGTGCCGGAGATGGACCTCTTTTATCTGATCCTTTGGGAGAGAACCCATCAGATGAGCTGAGAAACTACTGTAGGTTTACGAAGTACTTATTTAGCTGTGTTAGTTCAGCAAGCCTCGTGCTCACTCCCTGGCAATGTGAAATATGTGAAATGTCTGTCATAGTGTGTCACAATTGAATCTGTGCTTTTAGGAAATTAAAGTGTGTTAGACACTGACTGTGAGTCCTTAATTGTCTGATGTTTTACAGGATACTGCATAAATAGATGCTTTATCTGAGGTATCATTGACAAGGAGGATTCCTGAGAGGGAATAGAAGTCAATGTCTTAGATGTGTCCTGGTCTACCGCAGTTTAGTAGTTTTAACTTTAAATGTTCCGACTCACATTACTGCAAAGTGCAAAACGCATACCATACTGTAGATCTTTATTGTGGATGACGAAGACATTGTACATTGTTCATTTTAAGTTAGTTAAAGCAAACACATATGCTCACCATTATTTAACCTTTGTTACACATCAAAAGGCCTTCTGAATTAACTACGGAATACAACAACAACAACAACTGCAGCCATCAAGACGTCATTAGTGGCTGTGTAGAGGCAATCGGAGGGGAGAATGCTTCGTATGGGGTTTTGTGGCAATTTAACACACACAAACCTTTGATAAATCTATCCCCTAGTAGCATTTCTGTCTCCTTTCCTTCACTTCCTTTGTGAAGCCGTTGCCATTGGTGGTCTGGTGTGCTAACACCTTTTATTATCCTGGTATTATCCTGCCCTGTTTCTGTTTTTATTCTAATCTGCCACAATGGAAAAGACCTTTGACAACATCGTTGAAAAGTGTTCATTTACAAATTAATTGAGATGTTTGGCTATGAATGCATGGCATTGAAGTGTTCTTTTAAATTGCCTATGCTGCTGGATGGAAGTGATGGTTGATTACATATTTTGTCACGACTTCTGTAGAATCTGTTAATAATTCTAGTTACATCTCCACATCTGAGTTCTCTATTTCATCCCAGTTGAAGGTCATGCTTTCTATGGTTCTGAAACATTCTTTGTTATTTTACTTAATCTCCCCGTCATTGACAGAGAGCAGCTTTTCAAAAGAAAACACAACTCAATACAGAGCGTTGAGGTGTTTCTATCCAAATGTACACGTGAGAAAAGCTGTTTAAAGCATACTGTAGAAAACCACAGGACTTGTTTAGTGTTTCTATGATAATACTATTCCACAACACTTTTATGGAGGTCACCCACAAGTCGAGGTTATTTGGATGTAGCCAGAGGGTACATGAGTGTATGATTGAGTAACCTTTATGTAGTATACATTATTCATCCACAAACACTACCTGTATGTACAACACAACTGTTTCAGTGGATTGCCTTTCCCACTGCTGGGGTGTTTACTCAGACGTATTGCACCCTATATCTTAGTGTGTTTCCATCCTCTCATCCATTCACACTCATTATTCTTTTATCTATTCAAACTCCTAAATGGAGATTGTCCATTATAACTTCACACTCATAACGACCATACTGTCTGTTCTTATAAAAACAGATCTTGCAGCTTCTCGAAGCTACCCATAATTCCGCTTTCATTCACATAACTGAAAATAATGTGCCATTATAATACTATAGACTTCGACACCCCTGTGTTAGAGGAAGAGGCTTGTGATGAGTCGACTGGTTTCACTTTTGATTATGATGAAATAATTATGTGACTCAGTTGTGTAAGTTGATAGAGTGAGAAGTCTTTAACATTAGATTAATAATGTTAAGTTACATTGCACATATAAAACATTACTTTACATGTCAATTCCAATTTCCTATTGGTACGTTAATAAATACATGCTTATATATTGTACTGTAAAAGTGTTTCATAATTCATGTGTAATACGTCAATGTTAAATAAATACTTCATAGTGATAACATGATATGCCAATTACCTATTGTGGGGCTCAAATTAAGGTTGGTGTGTTGATTTTGAAGATGTACAGTTGATTTGAAGATGTACAGTATCTTTGCAAGTCTGAACCAGTTCAATAACCAACAAACCATAAAATGTGTCTACATTTTGACCCATTTTGTGACGCCTAATAAGAGTCTGTCTGTTAGAGGCCAATGTATCCAATCCCTTGGCTCGTTGATTTGGAACCAGACTTCACGTTTCTCTGTTCGTACAGCCCATAGCAGTGAGGTCCAGCCCAGTCTGTTGGGTAGCTTGACCTGGTGTGGCCCTCCATGCTCAGTCTGCCCATATGTCTCCACACCTAAGGTTGCAAATGGAGTGTATATTACTGGAAACTTTCTAAATGTACCAGTAAACTACCAGAAATGTATGTAATCACAAGACACCTAGTGGCCCTTTTGGGTACTTCAGATTATCACAGGCGTCTGTAATTACCTCTGGCCATCTTATATCAAATAAAATATATGAACTCATTAAATAAGGGGAGTGGCTCCTAATCGGTGACCGGATCTTTTATTTCTGAGGCTCCATATCCATAAGTGCGCAAATTCTCCCAGTATCTCACCGGAATTTGGGACTTCACTCATACCGAAACCGGATTAGATACATACCGGTAGTTAAATCCGAGTTTAATGCCAAAAAGATGATATTCGCAATGTCACTAAGCAAAACACAAAAAAACTAAACATCAATAGCAACTACAATGGCAAAACATGATTTTATCACGACTACACTCTAAAAAGTAAAGGTTCCTGGAGGATCCTTTAGGGGTTCTTCAAATTGAAACTGTGGGGGAACCCCTAGAAGTTCTTTGAAGAACTCTTTAAAAGGGTTCTTCAAAGAACCCCTTTTAATGGATCCTCGATTAACCTTTTGAAGAACCTTTTGGGGTTAATTTTTGAACTACCTCCCCCCTATTATTATTATTAATAATACGCTTAACAATAACAACAATAACACAATATTTTAGTTGTCAGTGTTTATTATGATTTTAGTGGCAAAGCAGAATTAAAAAAATCAAAATATGAGGTAAACTCCCAGCAGAGCCCCAAGTCCAATGGGTATATCCTCTGGCATGTTGATGTTCTCCATATCCATAGCCAGAATAATTTTGCAGTGCATGGTGATCGAACAGGTTTCCTGTTATATTCATCAGAGGTGTAGGGAGGGTGAAGTCTGTGAATCCAAAAAATAGTAGTTATACGGACAATTAACAAAACATGCACACAACAGTATTCATACCTTGGTTTTTGTGGTAAATGTGAATGAAAAAAACTGTTTTAATAATGGTTTTCATACACATACCTCCTGAGTGGCGCAGTGGTCTAAGGCACTGCATCGCAGTGCTAACTGTGCCACTAGAGATCCTGGTTCGAATCCAGGCTCTGTCGCAGCCGGCCGCGACCGGGAGACTCATGGGCGGCGCACAATTGGCCCAGCGTCGTCCAGGGTAGGGGAGGGAATGGCTGGCAGGGATGTAGCTCAGTTGATAGAGCATGGCGTTTGCAATGCCAGGGTTGTGGGTTCGATTCCCACGGGGGGCCAGTATTAAAAAAAATATATATATATATATATGTATTCACTAACTGTAAGTCGCTCTGGATAAGAGCGTCTGCTAAATGACTAAAATGTAAAATGTAATACCTTGTCCACAATGTAGAGGCCTATGGGATATTCATTGAAGAGGTAAGGGAGGAGGATGGTGAATCTGATCTGCATAACATACAACCAATTGACAAACCTTTGTATGCCTCCTTGTCTGTATACCTACAGACACAAAAGTGAGCAGTTCAGTCATCTGCACCCAATACAGCTAGCCTTCAACATATTCTTACCTCTTTATTGATTGATATCCATTGAATTGTGTCCATTTTCTGTTTTAGAAAGATTTGCATGAATATGAAAAGATGGATACTGTCATCGGAAAACGTAGATCATACAAGGGACAAACATTACCTTAAATTGAGGAGATCTTTAAATTTTTCAGTTAAGTGCCTGCACCTGCTGTCTTTTCAAATTCAAATCCAAATGTTTCAGTTGGGCAGTTAGGTTCCTGCAAGAACCCCCACCAACTAAGGAGGTTTCTAGATTAACCCCACCTCCTATGGGGTTCTTGGAAGAACCTTTTGGGTGTAATTTTCAGTGCCAAGAACCCTAAGGTTCTTCGAAGAACCCCAAATTTTTTAGAGTGTATGGTGTATCGACATTAGCTAGCTAGCTAATGTTAGCAGATTACCGGCTGCTACATGATAATCAGCTCGCGTTAGCTAGCTAGCATTAGCTGCCTAGCTAGCCAGCCTAGCTAACTCTAGCCCAATGGAAATCGATGCAACCCTGCTGGCTAAGTGGCTAGCTAGATTACCAGTGGTGACAGTGAGGTCCCTATGAGATTCAAGGCTTTAATAAGTGCCATCGTGCAGAAATTGCAAAAAAATACTGCTTGATGAGCAATGGAAGACAGCTATGACAGTTACCAATGGGCATGCAGAAATGCATGATGACACATTGTGTCGAAGTCTAGAAGGCATGCAGAACGGACTGCCTCTCTGGGAC